TGACGTGGTGAAGTTCTGTCTCTACTAAAAATACAAAAATTAGAGGCCGGGCGCGGTGGCTCAAGCCTGTAATCCCAGCACTTTGGGAGGCCGAGGCGGGTGGATCACGAGGTCGAAAGATCGAGACCATCCTGGTCAACATGGTGAAACCCTGTCTCTACTAAAAAAAATACAGAGGCCGGGTGCGGTGGCTCAAGCCTGTAATCCCAGCACTTTGGGAGGCCGAGGCGGGTGGATCACGAGGTCAAGAGATCGAGACCATCCTGGTCAACATGGTGAAACCCCGTCTCTACTAAAAATACAAAAATTAGCTGGGCATGGTGGCGCGTGCCTGTAATCCCAGCTACTCGGGAGGCTGAGGCAGGAGAATTGCCTGAACCCAGGAGGCGGAGGTTGCGGTGAGCCGAGATCGCGCCATTGCACTCCAGCCTGGGGTAACAAGAGCGAAACTCCGTCTCAAAAAAAAAAAAAAAAAAAAAATAGGGGAAAAAGGCTGGGTGTGGCGGCTCATACCTGTAATCCCAGCACTTTGGGAGGCCAAGGCAGGTGGATCACCTGAGGTCAGGAGTTCAAGACCAGTCTGGCTGACGTGGTGAAGTTCTGTCTCTACTAAAAATACAAAAATTAGAGGCCGGGCGCGGTGGCTCAAGCCTGTAATCCCAGCACTTTGGGAGGCCGAGGCGGGTGGATCACGAGGTCGAAAGATCGAGACCATCCTGGTCAACATGGTGAAACCCTGTCTCTACTAAAAAAAATACAGAGGCCGGGTGCGGTGGCTCAAGCCTGTAATCCCAGCACTTTGGGAGGCTGAGGCGGGTGGATCACGAGGTCAAGAGATCGAGACCATCCTGGTCAACATGGTGAAACCCCGTCTCTACTAAAAATACAAAAATTAGCTGGGCATGGTGGCGCGTGCCTGTAATCCCAGCTACTCGGGAGGCTGAGGCAGGAGAATTGCCTGAATCCAGGAGGCAGAGGTTGCGGTGAGCCGAGATCGCGCCATTGCACTCCAGCCTGGGTAACAAGAGCGAAAACTCTGTCCAAAAAAAAAAAAAAAAAACAACAAAAAAAATACAAAAAAACTAGCTGGGCATGGTGGTGCGTGCCTGTAATCCCAGCTACTTAGGAGGCTGAGGCAGGAGAATTGCCTGAGCCCAGGAGGTGGAGGTTGCGGTGAGCCGAGATCGCGCCATTGCACTCCAGCCTGGGTAACAAGATCGAAACTCTGTCTCAAAAAAAAAAAAAATACAAAAATTAGCCAGGTATAGTGGTGCACGCCTGTAATACCAGCTACTTGGGAGGCTGAGGCAGGGGACTTGCTTGAATTTGGAAGGTTGAATTTGAATTTGCTTGAATTTGAATTTGAGATTGCAGTGAGCTGAGATCGTGCCACTGCACTCCAGCTGGGCAAGAGACCAAGACTCTGTCTCTTTTTTTTTTTTAAAGATGGGGTTTCACCATGATGGCCAGACTGGTCTTGAACTCCTGACCTCAGGTGATCCACCCACCTCAGCCTCCCAAAGTGCTAGGATTACAGGTGTGAGCCACCGCACCTGGCGACTCTGTCTCAAAAAACAACAACAAAACTGGAGAAGGGCATAAACATTTTATTTGATGTTAAAAGTTTTGCTTTTTTTGTTTTTCAGATTGGGTGGCCCCCTACACCAGAATAGGTTTTGGGTGACTCTCTAATGTTAAAAGTGTTACCTGGCATGGTGGCGGGGTGGGGGGGGTGCTGCATGGAAGAGAAACCCCACAAAGCAGGCCTGGTGGCTTTATACGATTCTAACAAAGGACAATACATTTGTAGAGAAGTGACAGGCAAAGGAAAGTGGCTTCTTAACTTTCTAGGGGCAGCAGGCTGTGGGAAGGTAAATGTGGGGACACTGTGGTAGATAGGCTATTTAGTAAGGCTTATCTGTGTGGATGCTTCTTGGTGCCATCTCTGTCTCCAGTGATAAAGCTGTTCTCCCCTGCCTGGTGTGGACAAGGTTGGAGGGCCTCACAAGGAAATGTGCACCCTGCTTTTCAGGCAGAAAGCTCATCCCATCTGCTTTTTCTCGATTGCCTTCAGCTCAAATCATCCTTATGCCAGAGGGTATATTTTGGGGTGGTCCCCTATGCCTTCAAGCCCAGGTCCCCATGAGACTGGATCACCCCTACTTGCGGACTGCTCCTGTGTTTTAGGAACTGCTTCCTCTTCTCTTGCCTGTGGGATGAAGCTCCTGTCTTTGTGCTGTATCTTTCTCACTCTATAATGTCTCCCTCAGCCAGCCATCCTGAGCTGGAGTGTACCCTATCCCTCTGTGTCAGACATCCCAGCCCTGAGCCTGCAGCCCTGACCGCCTCCCCAGGTGTGATAGTACCTGATGCCTGGGGGTCCCCTCGGAGACCATGTGTTGCCGGGGTGGGTTTGCCAACACAACTGTTTTTTTTTTGAAGTGAAAGGTCTCACATATTTATTACTGAACCCAGGCAACCAAAACCTTTTTTTAAAAAAACATGAATAATGGAAGCACTGTGGGTTGTACTAACTAATGCCTTCATAACAGATACAGAAAGGAATCTGTTCAAACGTCTCCAGATAGCTTGGTTTAGTAACACGATTGTGACCTGCAGACAGCATGAATGTGTGTGCCATCACATCCGTAATTTCTTTTTTTTTTTTTTTTTTTTTTTTGAGACGGAGTTTTCGCTCTTGTTACCCAGGCTGGAGTGCAATGGCGCGATCTCGGCTCACCGCAACCTCCGCCTCCTGGGTTCAGGCAATTCTCCTGCCTCAGCCTCCTGAGTAGCTGGGATTACAGGCACGCGCCACCATGCCCAGCTAATTTTTTGCACTTTTAGTAGAGACGGGGTTTCACCATGTTGACCAGGATGGTCTCGATCTCTCGACCTTGTGATCCACCCGCCTCGGCCTCCCAAAGTGCTGGGATTACAGGCTTGAGCCACCGCGCCCGGCGCCGCATGCGTAATTTCTTACAGACCAAGCTTGGTTCTTCTCCAGTGTCTCCTTTTGGAGTTGTACCTGATTTTATTACCAGTTTTCATCCGAATCCACTGGAGAATGGGACGATTTTGCTTTTGCTTCTTGGCCAGGAATCGCTTAATCCTGAAAGTCTTGTGAGAAGACATGGCGAGAAACGGAGTAAAGCACACCGCACGATGGCGGAGAACGGAAGACAGGAGGAAGGCAGCCGGAAGAACGAGCTTGGAAGCCCGACACAACTGTTTACTCCGCAGCAAGGAGGGGAGGAGCAAGAAGAGCAAGCAGGGAGGGTCTGTCCAGCAGACACGGGACTGAGTGGGCTTCAAGGCAGCACAGAGTGAGTCGGCCAGTGGCGGGGCACTGGGGACTCAAAGCAACCAATGGGGCGTGGCTGCCACAGCCCCCTGGGGGACTGAGAACTTGGCCCTGGAGAATGCAATGCAAGGCAGAGAGTTGTGTGGTTCCAGTGAGACTTCACAGCTTTTCCCTGTTCTGGGCAGGAGCTGTGTCCTTGCTGAGTAGCAGTGACCTTTAGGCGTTTTTTTTTTTTTTTTTTTTTTTGAGACGGAGTTTCGCTCTTGTTACCCAGGCTGGAGTGCAATGGCGCGATCTCGGCTCACCGCAACCTCCGCCTCCTGGGTTCAGGCAATTCTCCTGCCTCAGCCTCCTGAGTAGCTGGGATTACAGGCACGCGCCACCATGCCGTTGATTTTTTTGTATTTTTAGTAGAGACGGGGTTTCACCATGTTGACCAGGATGGTCTTGATCTCTTGACCTCGTGATCCACCTGCCTTGGCCTCCCAAAGTGCTGGGATTACAGGCTTGAGCCACCGCGCCCGGCAGAGATGGGGTTTTACCATGTTGGCCAGACTTGTCTCGAACTCCTCACCTCGGCCTCCCAAAGTGCTGGGGTTACAGGTATAAGCCACCCCACCCCGTTGTAAAATCTATTTTTTAAATGCTAGAGATTAGTTTACAATTTGAGAAACTATGTAGGTCAAACAACCCATCTGCTGGCTAGCTGCGGCCCCAGGGTTCCCATTGGGAGACCCTGCTGGGAACCAGGAAGGGCAAGTGAATGATCCAAGGCCAGGGCTACACATGAAGGCGCCAGGGTGAGGGCTGCTGAGGGTGCTGGCTGAGGCGGGGTGGGGCATCACTTACCACGTTACACTGCCGGGTACTGCGCAGGGTCTAGCCAGAGTGTGGGCTGACGGCTTCCAAAGCAGATGGCTGCCCCATTGCTGCACTCAAGGCCTGGTCTTGCTAATGCTTTCCCAGATGTATATCTTCACAGACAAGAGTAAGAACCACAGAAAGAGACCTGGGTCTAAAGTAAGCAACTCATCCTGGTTTGCCTGGGGTTTTCTGGTTGTAAATATGGAAGTCCTACAACCCAGAAACCCCCTTAGTCTGATGCAAGCTGGGACAGTTGGTTTGCTTAGACTCCTGCTCCCTGTGCACCCCCAGCCCGCCGGGGGGGAGAATGATAATGGCAGCCACCATGTGTGGCTTATCAAGTGCCGGAAGACACCATGCGTTATAACCTGCATCGCTTCCCTTCCGTCTTACAGCAGCATCGTGGTGTGGATTTATTCTCTCTGTTCTAAGCTAAGTAGGCTGAGAGTGACATGACTCGCCCAGGGCAAGTGCTGGCACTGGGGTTTGAACCCACAGTGCTTTGATTCAGCACTGTCAACTGTACTGCCCTCTCCTGCCTCTCAGCCTGAGCCTGCAGGGCCAGCCTGGGCCCCAGGGAAGTCTCCTTGGGAGCTTACCTGGGCGGAGGTTCAGTAGGAATGGGTTTTTGCAGGTCTGAGACCCCCCCCCCCCCCCCCCCCCCGCCCACACTGCCCCCAGCTGTGCCCAGGTTCTTCTCTGCCTGCACATTTGCCCCTGAATGGGACAACCTGAAAAACCCTCAGGGGACATTGTTTCTACCCCGCCCTCAGACCCCCTGTGCTGTCACCGTGTTGCTCACTGCACCCCAAGGGAGGAGGCTGGTGCTTAGAAACGCTTGCTGGTGATTTATTGCATGGGCTGGGGGAACCGTCCAGAGCAGAGGTGGGCAAGGGAGCAGGGCGTGAGGGTCCCAGGGGGCTCTGGAGGCCACTGAACCAGCCCTTCGGGGGTCCCTGTGCAGGGTTCTAATCATAGTTGGGGTCAGCATGGGCCCGGCGTGCGGTGAGGTGGCTGGTCAGATAGCGCATGGCTGAGCGGACGCCCTCCACGGTCCTCTGCTCCACCGTCTCCAGCACGTGGGCGATGGCGCGCAGGGCTGAGCCGGTCCCGCACACCAGCCCGGAGGAGAAGGCTGAGCCGACGCTTCTCAGCATGCTGGAGACCGAGCGCAGGCTGGGCCCCGAGCTGTGGAGCAGGTCTGCCACAGTGCTGTGGTCAGAGGCCAGGAAGCCCGTGGCCACGGCCATGCCCATGGCGGTCTCGGACCACACCAGGATGTCTGCCAGGGAGCTAATGGAGCCCTCGCCCCTGCCCAGCAGGCTGGTCATGGAGCGCATGTAGCTGTTCTCATCACTGGCCATGTACAGGCTGGGGTCCAGGGGTCTCCTCCCCAGGGCCACCTCGTGGGGGCCGGGTGACGGGGGCACATTGCCTGCTGGAGACGGAGGGAAGAACCAAACCTGCGGGTCTCCTAAGCTCTCCACCACGTTCTTTCCCATGGCCACTGGGGACTCATCGGATGGCAAAGCTTCAGCATCAGGGTGCGGGGCCTTCGGACACTCAGCCTTCTCTTTTGCAGCCTTGGTGGTGCCAGTGGCCTCAGGGCCACCCTGGCCATCGGCACCAGCTGTGACCTCGTCAGCATCACTCCCGGCTGGCTGAGCCTCCACGTGCTGGGTGGACTGTGGCTCAGCACTCGGGGCAGAGGGAGCTGACTCTGGCTCTCTCTTGGGAACACTTGCTGTTTGTGATGTCTTGTCTTTACCCAGGAGGTGACTTGGGAAAACCACTAGACTGTGACTTGTCCTTGCATCTTGAACCAGCATGTCCCACGTTGGATTCTGGAGGCTCATAGATGTTTGCAGGGGACCTGGGTTTTGGCTGGGAAGCAGAGCTGTGATTTTTCTAGGTGTCTTCTGGTCATCTTCTGGAACAACTGAACCCTTGTCTTTGACCCCAGATGTTGACATGGCCTCGGGAGAGGCCGTCTGGAAGGAGGCCTGATCAACATCCTGCTGGTCGGTAGATGCGGCAGAGCTGCTCACCACCAAGACATCTGCTGTGAGTGGGGCCTGACCTTGGGGCCCTCCTGCTGGGATGTCCTTAGAAGTGTTGTCAGCCACGTTGCCGGGAGGGATCCCAGAAGTGCCATGTGCGGGGCTGCTGGTGGGGCTGCTGGTGGTGCTGGCCTCTACCGAGGGCCCTCCTGTGGTCATCTATGCTTTTTGCTACTTGTGGCGGTTGGAGGGAGTGGCTGTATCCCAGCTGGGCTGGGTTGTCCAGGTGGTGAGGTCACAAGGGATTGTGGCCACTGGTGATGTCACAGGTACCCGCAGAGCAAGGGTCCTGAGCCGCTGGAGCAGCCTTCCAAGTGGGCTAAGTGTGTGGGACAATTTGTCACCAACTTTGCAGGTATACAGGAAAAAAAAGTCTTGGAAAGGACTTGAGGTGTGTGTACAGGGCCAAGTACAGCCACAGGGCTGCAGGAGGAGTGAGAGCTGGGACTCTGACAGATGAGAAGGGATGCAGATGTTGATTCAGAATCAATGTTGGCCTGGCGCGGTGGCTCATGCATGTCATCCCAACACTTTGGGAGGCTGAGGCGGGCGGATCACCTGAGGTTGGGAGTTTGAGACCAGCCTGACCAACGTGGAGAAATCCTGTCTCTACTAAAAATACAGAATTAGCTGGGCATGGTGGCACATGCCTGTAATCTCAGCTACTAGAGAGGCCGAGGCAGGAGAATAGCTTGAACCTGAGAGGCGGACGTTACGGCGAGCCGAGATCGCGCCATTGCACTCCAGCCTGGGCAACAAGAGTGAAACTCCATCTCAAAAAAATAAAAAAATAGAATCAGTGTTTATAAGGGACCCCTCCTGGCACCTCTCTCTCTACTCTGGTGCCTCAAGACCCCAATTTTAGCTGGGCATGGTGGCTCATGCCTGTAATCCTAGCACTTTGGGGTGCTGAGGCAGGTAGATCACCTGAGGTCAGGAATTTGAGACCAGCCTGGCTAACATGGCGAAACCCTGTCTCTACTAAAAGTACAAAAATTAGCCAGGCATGGTGGTGGGCGCCTATAATCCCTACTCGGAAGGCTGAGGCAGGAGAATCACTTGAATCCAGGAAGTGGAGGTTATAGTGAGCTGAGATCATGCCATTGCACTCCAGCCTGGGCAGAAGCAGACTCTGTCTCAAAAAATAAAAAGAAATTAAGAAAGACCCTAATTTAATCAGTTTCCTGCAGGGAATCCTTTTCCCAGCAGTGAGGGTAGGAATAAGCAAAAGCCAAGGGCTGGGCAGCTCCTGACCAGCTGTGGCTGTGGGCTTAACCCTTTTGATGTAGGGCAAAAATCTCCATCTTCTTGCCCAAGTGATCTGGGAGGGCGGAGAATAACAAAAGGTCTACAGACCTCTGAGTATTCCTTGGAAAAGGATAACCCTAGTTAAACCTACTTGTGCCTATGGTCATTAAGAGGATGGTTGGGCCGGGCGCGGTGGCTCAAGCCTGTAATCCCAGCACTTTGGGAGGCCGAGGCGGGTGGATCACGAGGTCAAGAGATCGAGACCATCCTGGTCAACATGGTGAAACCCCGTCTCTACTAAAAATACAAAAAAATTAGCTGGGCATGGTGGCGCGTGCCTGTAATCCCAGCTACTCAGGAGGCTGAGGCAGGAGAATTGCTTGAACCCAGGAGGCGGAGGTTGCAGTGAGCCGAGATCGCGCCATTGCACTCCAGCCTGGGTAACAAGAGTGAAACTCCGTCTCAAAAAAAAAAAAAAAAAAAAAAAGAGGATGGTTGGAGGAGGCCAGGCACGGTGGCTCACGCCTGTAATCCCAGCACTTTGGGAGGCTGAGGCGGGCGGATCACGAGGTCAAGAGATTGAGACCATGATGAAACCCCGTCTCTACTAAAAAATACAAAAATTAGCTGGGCGTGGTGGCGCATGCGTATGGTCCCAGCTACTCAGGAGGCTGAGGCAGGAGAATTGCTTGAAACCGGGAAGTGGAGGTTGCAGTGAACAGGGATCGCACCACTGCACTCCAGCCTGGCACCTGGCAACAGAGCAAGACTCTGTCTCAAAAAAAAAAAAAAAAAAAAAGAAGATGGGTGGAGGAAAAGGCTCAGTCTGTCGTGTCTGTGCTTCTTCAGGGGTTACCAGCTAACGTTTGTTGACTGCTTGTGGGCAGGAACAGGATCGTGGCATCCTTCCCACCACCCATAACCTGCGGGTAGGTTCAGATCTACTAGTATACCCAGTTTACACACAGGCATGCTGAGCCTCACGGAGAATAAGTGACTTAAAGCCACACCACTAATAAGCGCTGAATCCGGGATTTGAACCCTGTCTGGCTTCAACACTAAGCTTTCCGGCACTCTCTCTGTGGGAGGTAGGTAGTTCCTTTTTAAAGTTTCCTTTCTTGTTAAAGAATAAATCATAAGTGTGCTAATAACTCTTTGTTAAGCCCTATCCTAAGTAGCTGTTAGACACGCCATGCTTTCAGGCATGTAGTACATTCTATGTCCTTGTACTTTAACCAAGATATCTGTGCTGGACGTGCTCACAGGCATGTCCCAGCCCTCCATTGCTTTTACCTGTTTATAAAAGTTTTAAGTTGTTAGCCAATCAGGTTTTAGTTTAGATTGTGAGGTCTGCCTTCAGCCAACGGAGATCAGACACAGACAACCCCAAATGCATAAGGAATAAATTTGTCTGTTTTTCTTGATTCATTGTACTTTTGTGACAAGATGGTTAGCAAGAGTACCCTTCCACAGTCCAGGAAGTAAAAATTGTGTTGCTGAAAGATCCTTTGTGTCAGTGCTGATTTTCCTTTGTGGCACTGAGCATCTACTTCCAACACTCTCATACTCAGGAGGGATATTAAAAATGTTGCACGAGGCCGGGCACGGTGGCTCACGCCTGTAATCCCAGCACTTTGGGAGGCCAAGGCGGGTGGATCACGAGGTCAAGAGATCAAGACCATCCTGGTCAACATGGTGAAACCCCGTCTCTACTAAAAATACAAAAAATTAGCTGGGCATGGTGGCACGTGCCTGTAATCCCAGCTACTCAGGAGGCTGAGGCAGGAGAATTGCCTGAACCCAGGAGGCGGAGGTTGAGGTGAGCCGAGATCGCGCCATTGCACTCCAGCCTGGGTAACAAGAGCGAAACTCCGCCTCAAAAAAAAAAAAATGTTGCACGAGAGGCTGGGCACGGTGGCTCATGCCTGCAATCCCAGCACTTTGGAGGGTCAAGGTGGGAGGATAGCTTGAGCCCAGGAGTTCAAGACCAGCCGGGGCAACGTAGTACAACCCTGTCTCTACAAAAAATAAAACAAAAATTAGCTGGGCATGGTGGTGTGCACCTGTAGTCCCAGCTACTGGGGAGGCTGAGGCCCAGGAGGAGGATTTCTTGAGCTCAGGAGTTCAAGGCTGCAGTGAGCTATGATCACATCATTGTACTCCAGCCTGGGTGACAGAGCAAAATCCTGTGCCTTAAAAAAGAAAAAAAAAGAAGCCGGCTGTGGTGGCTCATGCCTGTAATCCCAGCACTTTGGGGAGGCTGAGGTGGACAGATCACTTGAGGTTAGGAGTTCGAAACCAGCCCGGCCAACATGGTGAAACCCTGTCTCTATTGAAAGTACAAAAATTGGCTGGGCGTGGTGGTGTGCACCTGTAATCCCAGCTACTCAGGAGGCTGAGGCATGAGAATTGCTTGGACCTGGGAGGTGGAGATGGCGGTGAGCTGGGATTGTGCAACTGCATTCCAGCCTGGGCAACAGTGTGAGACCCTGCCTCAAAAAGAAAAAAAAAGAAGAAGAAGAAAAGAAAAAAGAAAAAATATATATCTAATGACTAGCATGGTAACGATGCTGGCAGATGCAGATGCCTCCCGGTAGAACTGGTTCCACCACACCAGCAGGTGACAGCTGCTGCCAGGGCTGCACCAACAGCAGCATGGTCAGGAGTGTATGGAAAATTTCCCTCCCTGAAACTCTCTGCCCTTGTCCTCTCTCCCCTCTCCTGCTGCCTCTCCTGGCTGGCTCCCTCCCTCCTCCCCCTCTCCCAGGATCAGGCCTTCCCTTCACACTTCTTTCACTGACTCCCGCTCAGCCAGCCTCTGTCTTAATCCTCTGATGCTGACTGCACTTCTGACGCCAGGCTCCTTGCTCACTAAGTGTTTATTTTCCCCGCAGATACCCTGCCGCCAGCTCAGAGGTCACAGGGCAAACCCAGGCTTGTTGGAGTATGAGGGACTGACGAGGACAGCCTGTAGCTTGTGAAGCAGTCCTTGTGAGAGGCTGGAGGCTGCACATCCCAGATGGCCTTCTTCCTTAGTGTCAGACCAATGACTAAGCAGAAACTACAGGAGGCTCCCGCTTCGGATGAGGCTCCTGCACCAGGCCCCGGCAGACTGGACTAAACATCAAGATGGGGTCACTCACCCTGAGGATCCAAATCACCGGGAGACAGAGATGATTGCCAGTTTCCCAAATGGGTCAGTCTCTTTTCTTCTCTTTTTCTTGAGATGGAGTCTTGCTCTGTCACCCAAGCTGGGGTGCAGTGCCACGATCTTGGCTCATTGCAACCTCTGCCTCCCACATTCAAGCAATTCTCCTGCCTCAGCCTCCCGAGTAGCTGGGACTACAGATGTGTGCCACCATGCCTGGCTAATTTTTGTATTTTTAGTAGAGATAGGGTTTCACCATGTTGGCCAGACTGGTCTTGAACTTTTTTTTTTTTTTTTTGAGACGGAGTTTCGCTCTTGTTACCCAGGCTGGAGTGCAATGGCGCGATCTCGGCTCACCGCAACCTCCGCCTCCTGGGTTCAGGCAATTCTCCTGCCTCAGCCTCCTGAGTAGCTGGGATTACAGGCACGCACCACCATGCCCAGCTATTTTTTTTTTTTGTATTTTTAGTAGAGACGGGGTTTCACCATGTTGACCAGGATGGTCTCGATCTCTTGACCTTGTGATCCACCCGCCTCAGCCTCCCAAAGTGCTGGGATTACAGGCTTGAGCCCCCGCGCCCGGCTTTTTTTTTTTTTTTTTTTTTTTTTGAGACGGAGTTTCGCTCTTGTTACCCAGGCTGGAGTGCAATGGCGCGATCTCGGCTCACCGCAACCTCCGCCTCCTGGGTTCAGGCAATTCTCCTGCCTCAGCCTCCTGAGTAGCTGGGATTACAGGCACGCGCCACCATGCCCAGCTAATTTTTTGTATTTTTAGTAGAGACGGGGTTTCACC